ATGTAAAACAAAAAGAAACCCTAAACTTCCCCGCGCCCTTTTTTTTTTTTTTTTTTTTTTTGGGGGGGGGGGGGTATTTGAGTCGCAGCTGATCACAATCTGTCATTTTATCAACTTTGTATTTACTCCACAGCTCCTCTGCACAGCTATTTGAAAATCTGCGCTGCTGGGCTGAAGACATTTCCAGTCACTCCAGACTACAGCAGTAAGCTTTCATCTTCTCCTCATTCATATGAGACTTTTTTTTGAGCACATAAGACGCTGATAATTATGCACACACCTTCTACAGTTGGGTTGAAAATTATTCATACCTTTGTCTGATTGCCGATGTCTTTCTTAGTTGAAAGACATGTAAACTTATTGTCTTTCAACTAAGAAGTTTGTTACTAATGTGAAAGAAGACTTGCATCACTCAGTCAAGAGATCATAAAACAATATAAAAGGGATGTTATATACATTTAAGTCAAAAGATATTCATCGCTTCCTCAGTAATCAATAGAAAAATCTTGCCATTACATGATTTAAGCTTCTTTATTCAAATTTCAAAAGTCTTATAGTTACTGTCCAGATTTGTACACGTTTTCACTGGTGTTTTTAGCATTTTATCTAATTCACATTTTATCTGGCTATCCCTCCACAGATTATCTGGTAATCATGTTGGAAATTTTTAAACTGTCAGGGCGGTAAATAATTTTGAGCTTTAATTTTGTACAGTGATTCTTATGTGCCTTGTGTTCCACTTCATGGATGCGGGCTTTAGAGTTCCTCAGATCATTTCCTGTCCCGCATCTTAATATTTTGTCCTCTTTCCTTTCTTAAAGATGTTGTGCTGCCAGAGAAACCCAAACTGAAGTTTTTGAACAAGGTGCCCAACCTAAAACAGGCTAAGAAAGAGAGAAAGAAGCTCAGGGATATCCAAGGACCGGCCATGGCATCGAATACCTTCACTTGTGGGCAGTATGCCATCGTTGTGAGTGCACTGATGTCAATTGAGGATTTTCTGACGGCTGAAATTGTTTGACACATATGTCACATCTTTTCCACAGTATATTGACCAAAGTTTTACAGTTTTTTTTGTTTGTTTTTTTTTTGGTATTTTTATGACATTTGTCCACATGTTTTAACTTTATTTTGCACAATTAAATGGCTGAGTTTGAGCGTTAAATATCAAAGTAACTTTGCTGCTTTATTTTTCAGGCCATGGGCGGAGGCTACCTGCACTGGGGTCATATAGAGATGATGCGTCTAACAATTAACCGAAAGATAGATCCCCACACAACATTTGCCCGGTGGCGTATCAGTGCCCCGTACAAGCCAATCACACGTAAAGGCCTGGGCCAGCGCATGGGCGGCGGCAAAGGAGCCATCGACCACTACGTGACACCGGTCCGGTCCGGACGTTTGATCGTGGAGCTGGGAGGAAAGGTGGAGCTGGGAGAGATTGAGCATGTCTTGATTCAAGTGGCCAAGAAGCTGCCCTTTCCTGCTAAGGTGAGATCTCCGAGTGTGCTCTGTTCCAGTTGATGTTTAGATACAAAGGCAAAAAGAAACCAAACTGGTGTGCATTTACAGCTGTGGTGATAAATTCACATACCCTAGCAGAATTTTCCTTTTTATTTTTTTCCCCAACATTTTCTGAGTGTAGGAATGACGATACAAGAACTATGAAGTCATATATCATCAAATCATTGTTTGCTTTCTTTTAATCATAACCACAGCAGTTAACTGCCTAAATGGCTCAGATCAAAACATTCTATGACCTGGACATTTTCACCTAGCAAAGGGCTCATTAGTTTCTACATAAGGCTGTAGAAGTAACCACATCACCATTTTTTATTCAGTGCTGCACTGATTTTACTGGACTCTGCCTCAAAGGAAACTTAGCAGTGGATCTGCTAAGCTGCTTGAATATTACTAAAAATGAAACATGATGTTAAAATCGATTGAACATTGCCGATAAGCGGTGTTTAAGATCCATTTAAGAGGTGGGAAATGAAATATTCTGTTAAAAACCAATCTGCAGTCAGGCAGCCCCACATAATTTCAACTGCTGGCCGAACAACTGCTCAGGATTAAAAGAAAAGCCCTTAAATAATTTCAGCATTTTTAGACGTACAGGATTCTAAAAAATGGTGCAGCTGCCTCCTTCCTTCCTCTGCAACATCCATTTTCTGGCCTGTCCTCATTGGCACCGTCTTAAAGCGAAACAACATTGCTGGTCTTGCAATGTTTTTGCAAGACCAACATTGCAACATTTCTTTTCATTCCTATTTTTATTAGACGCATTGAAAACAGAAAATACATAAGAAAAGAAATGAATTCTGAGAACAAATGTATCTATTTCTTTGTTTTTAATAAACAGTTCATATTCTGTGTATTGAAGGCCATCTTTTCACATCACTAAAGTCAAAGTGATTGAAAACAATTTTTTTTTTTTTTTTTTTACAATTTGGTTTTCGCATGATAAAGCAATGCTTTGCCTTTATTATTTCAGGTAATGAGCCGAGAGAGTCTGGAAGAAATGCACAGAAAGCAGAAAGAGATGGAGGAGAACAACCAGAATCCCTGGACCTTCAAGCAGATAGCCCAAGGCAACATGATGGGCATCAGGAAGGTGCTTAGTCCATTTGACCTGCGCAACCATGGACGCTTTACAGGCAAATTTCATTTTCCAGGGAGGGTGTGAGGGACCTGGGGGGACAGCCGACATCATCCAGACTGCATGTCTGAAGACCTCGACCTGAATTTTGTTACTCCCTCACTTTCAGAAACAACTTTCTTTTTTCAATGACACATTTTGTTAAGTCTTTTTTTGTTTGTTTTGCTTATGTAAACCAGTGACTCATGTTTATTACTATCAAGCTACTTGGTTCTGACTCATAATCGACAAATAAAACATGGGACATGTGAAAACAAATAACATCTCACTTAATTCATAGAAAAATATAAAGCTAATGAAAAGATAGGTTAACCTGACTACTGATATTTCAATGCGTTTTGTGGTAACATTCATTATATACTGCATATAAATTACAGAAAATATTTTTTTCTTTCCCAAAAAATATTTTTGCACAAATGGAGATATATGAATGTAAGCAGTTTGTTTTTGATAGCTTAACATAAAAATGTTACAAGTTTCATAGTGCAGATATAAGCTGTTTGCTCAAATATCTGTTATAGTGAGAAAAAAAAGAAAAAAAAATGTATTTATGTACTTTAGATTTGACTACTCCTTAAATATATTCAAATTATTATTCAAATAATGACGGGAAGTCAGCCTGAATCAGGTACTTTTGCCTCGTTTGTTAACCTCACCAATGAGTCTTTCTCGGTCATTGGCGCTTCTTAAACATAATTTTTTTTTTAGCTTTATATCATTTAATAATGTTGTTAGCTAATCAAAACCATACCTAGATTGTTGCTTTAATTCTTTCATGCATGGCTCAGGAATCCTTTAGCCATTCAGGGTTGCCTAAATGCTTACTCTCGCAATGCACCGCCTACTTTCACAAAGCTCCTTTTCCCCCACACAACTTCAGGCTAGCAATAGCAGCAATTAGCGAACACATATGCAAATTACAACAGTAATAAAGACGTAATAGAAAAGCATTGTGAAGAAGGTGGAGCGTCAGAAAGAGTAGAGGCAAGTCAACTTAAGTAGTACCTCTTTTAAATTATATCATTTTTTAACAAGTGAAGGTGGCATAGTGACTTGATTGTACCATAGAATGGCACCGTCTTTGAATTTTTCTGCCATAATAATAACGCCCCTTTAAAACCGTATATCCAAGAGAAATATGATTTGCCATTTATGGGAGTGACAGAATATGAGGAAACACTGTATGCAGATGCAGAGCAGCTTTTTATAGTAGAAATGCTATTAAAGTTGTTTGATGGTTTGAGAGGTTTTGGTGTCATAGTGCAGTTTTCGCCCCGGGTTATGTCTTACAGGCGTCCTGTTGCCACATCTTAGCCTGGCGGGAGTATCGTAAATTCGTACAGCGAAATGACTGTACTGCTTTTATATCCGTCAAGATCAGTAGATGTATATGAAGTATTTGGTTTTCTCATGTATGCTGCAGTCGCCAGAACGTGCTGCCTGGCAAGCATGACTCTGGGTAAGGCCACCTACTAATGACGCATGCGCTCTGAGTCTAAACGTTCGAAAACAACAGCGCGAAAATACAGGTCGATAGGCGATTATAACATACCGATACCTCAGTTTTAGATTTTGTTGCTCTTTTTCTACTGTGTCGTTTGTGTCTTAAATCAGTTTAAGTCTAAACATATTGGTCAAAAATAATTTTCAACTTATTAATACGATCGAAGCTTTAAGGCGTTGGTAGTTAGCTATTTAGCTAGCTGTTTCTGTACGATTAATACTATGAAGCCGTCAAGAGGCTCAAAACGGCCTCCAACAAAAGCCCCCAACCCGAAAAAGAAAAAAGAAAAGGCGTCGGGATTTCCTGCAAAAGAGGTGAGACATCATAACCACACAACTGTTTTATATACTGCTTTGTTTCGCTGGTAAATTCACTACAATCAGCCACTGTCACCTATTTTAGGATCAGGAGCTAGGTGATAATGAGAATATCCCCCTCACCAAATCAGTTAAGAGGAGAAAAGGTAAAATCTGCTTATGTACTCTACTGTTCAGATACAAAAAACAGATCTGTTGTTAATGTGATATTTCTTTGTGCTTGTTGCTAAAAGCTAAAGGGGATTTACCTTCAGTATCAAAGAAAACGACCATTCAGGACAGCTGGAAACCGATGCCCCCATCCACCATCAGTGCTGTGGAGAACATATTGGACTTATCCATACTGTGAGTTTCACACTGACATGATTTTTCAGTTTGAAAACTATTAAGCGTTTTATCAATCATCTGCTCATGAGGGTGTTTACTAGGACACCAAGATATTAGAAAACCATGCAGTGAAAATATGATCAAATATTGTGGTGACGATTTCACTTGTAATAAATATATGCATTCTGGTTTTTTTTTTTTTTTTGCTGATTTATATCTCAAAATAAAATCTGTGGTTAATTTACTTGTCATTTAACCTGTCTGTTAAAAATTAAACGGTCAGTTCTGCATGCATTTTTCATAGCAATGCTACTATCACAAGTTAAAGGTGTAAACATATTTACACTTATGAGACTCTCACTGCAAGTTGTATTACACTAGGGCTAACATCATATCAAGATACATAATTATCATGCTATTGCTAAACAATGCAATATAAATTACAAACAACCCATATTTTCCTATCTAATTATAGTATCCTAAGTATCACATATAAGCATTCAGTTGGAGTACTGTAGGGAACGATGATTGCCATTTGATAGGCTGTGCAGCTCAAGCTTAAATCCATCTTCAGCAACTATTACAAAACCTATAGTGTAATAGAGCTAAATATAACAAATTAATGTTATCCCTGCTTGCAATATCAAATAATTACTATGCATGAAAAATGAAAGTAACCCCTTTTTGTTGACAGAGCAACACTTGCTTTGAAGCGGGCAGGGAAGAAAGAGAGCCAGGAACATCTAAACATCATCAAAAATAAGTGAGTGTCTAACATTTCCGTCTAAATTAATCAAATAAGTCATATGTGAAATGCACACCGTATGAATTTTCCATGTTTAAGGACAAATGCAGGATTATTCAATTTCATTCTAAAGTATTTCATCAAAGATTTATTTACCTAAACTCTATTAGGGAGTTTCAGGTGGATGTGATATCAAAAGCAACTGCAATGAATAATTTGGTGACATTTAGGTTCCTATGTGGAAGATAAGAAACATATCAAGCAGAAAAGTGCTGCTCCTGACTTTATAAATCACCTGTGAAATTCCAGTAAACACTGATAAGCATGCATCAAGTTATTTCACGGTATAGACTCCAGTGTGGTTGCGAGACGTCAAACACGTCTGATGCAATCTGAGTGATATGCTTTCTGCAAATTTTTCCAGGGTTTTAGCTCATTGTGCACAACTTAAGGTTCCAGCGCAGGAACGGGGAGATTTGATTCATTCAACTCAACGCCACCAGGAGGAGACCAAGAAGTCTGAGCTCGGAAAGATGACGCTGAACTCCCTGAAGGTGAGAATCATGTTAACAAAATAAATCCAGACATGCTCAAAGTAAGATTTGTTTTCTTTATCTTCAGTCTTCATGAGTGTTTTCTTAGTAATGGTTTGGATGTAGATTGATATGAATAAAAAAAAAAAGCTATTTAACAAGACTGAAACTAAACATTTTGCTGCTATCTGTT